CAAATACAGGGAAGCTGTATAAAGCCACATCGTAAATTGTAATGGCTTTTTATTTTCAAAAATAGTTGTAAAATTCAGAATAATTGTGGGTAAGCATAGTTACAGGAACTCCTGCGAAGGCAGAACAATGACAGCATGCACAAGTCACTAGAAGGGCTACCAGCATCGCCATCAATACTGAGCGTTGCTGGACAAAAAGGCACATCGGTGTTCACTACCTTTTAAGTCGAAAAATGATGCTTATAAAAAAATTGGCCCCGTATCTGCATGTTACACTGCAATTGTCGTCGAAAGACGATAGTCTTGCATCTAGAGAGAGTGAACAAAACGTTTATTTGATGTTCTACGCAAGAAAATCGGTGAATGGTATTCTGGAGATGCTGCGTTAGAGTGCCTCGAGCATGCAGCAGAGGTGAACGAGTACATCAAATCATGTCACACGGGAGATCTGAGCGCTATCTAGCAGTTATCTTGGAAAATGAAGCGCGCGCCCTGCGCGCCCGTCTTGGAGGTGATAAGGTGTAGAACGCAAGGCAACGGGTAGGTGCCAGCACTGTGTCATCTTAGCAAAGTGTTGGAAACAGTTGCCTTTTTATGCAAGCGTTGCATGGTCAGCGCAATGTGATAAAATCTACTATCCTTAAATTACTTATTTATGCTATTTCTAGTAAGAGACACACATACAGAATATTGACATGTTGTTATGGTGCCTCAGATATGCGCAATAGTTGCTTTTTAATTGACAATCGCACAAGTATGAACGCTGAATCTTGAGTAGTATTGGTGGGTGCTGCTGATGGGGTCGGCCGTTTGGAGTATCGTTTGGCCACTTTGGTGCCGTTTAAAGTGCCAATAAGGGCGAAACAAACGGACAAATGCACAGACAGACAGAGAGACAGACCAATATTTGTGTCGAAGGCTTCAAGAAAGACTATCGTCTTTAATAACTATATGTTTTTGAGAGTAACTACTGCAGCTGTGAACACTGCGAAGGGTAAGCCTTCGGTCGCACCAGAAAGAAGGTTGGGTAGAAGAAAATCAATTGTCAATCCTTTAACAATGCTAAGTTTGAAATTCTAGATGAACATCACCGGCGGGACAGTCCTATTCTCCGATGTGCTTTTAAGCGATATCCCCGGTCCACGAGATATAAGTATGGATGCTCCATTTTCTATGGAAGAGCTAGAAGCTGCGCTAACACTGTGTAGGCGTTCTCTTTACCAGGGCCCGATGGGATAACGTATATGGCTCTGCGTCACTTAGGCCAAGCAGCTAGATGACGACTGCTAAATTTATTTAATCGGTCATGGGAAGATGGCATCGTACCTCAAGAATGGAAACGGAACTGTCTTGTGCCACTTCTAAAAGCAGGGAAGTCCCCTCTGGTGCTGACATTATACCGGCTTGTAGCTCTCGCCAGCTGCATTGGGAAACTCATGGAGTGCATGATTCTCAAGCGCCTGGAATGGTTCCTTGAACGGCACACATTTACCCCAACTCCATGGCGAGCATTTCGACGAGGCCATTCATTGATTGACAACGTCATCGATTTGGTGTCATCAGTAGAACAGCATACATTTAGGAAACAACCTAGCACTTTCGCTCTTTCTGGATGTGAAAGGTGTATATGACAACGGTTTCCCATCGAGCTATACTAGACACACTGCTGTTAATTGCACTGGGAGGGCGAATGTTTCGATGGATCTGAAGCTACCTGACAAGAAGATCCTTTTTTGTATATACTGAAGATGGCCCGACCTCAGACCACTACACGTGCCATGGCGTCCCGCAAGGTGGTGTTTTAAGCCCAGTTCTTTTCAATCTTGCCTTGCTTGGCCTGGCGGAAGCTATTCCTGAAACAGTCAGTGTTTCAATATACGCTGATGACATCTGTGTCTGGGCATCTGCATTGACACGCCTACAAGTTCGAGCAAGGATACAAAGGGCAGCGTCGCAAGCATCTGACTATGTTCGCACGCAAGGCCTAACAGTCTCAACAGAAAAATGTGCACTGGTGGCCTTCACGCACAAGGCGATGGCAAGTTACCCGATAAGCATTAATGGCCAGCCCATCTCTTACAAGCGTAGCCATCGTTTTCTAGGTATCACTGTTGACCGCGACCTCTCCTGGAGCCCTCATGTGACTAGCTTGAAAGCGAAACTGGTATCCATTGTACACATCCTGAAAGTCATCGCTGGAAAAAGATGGGGCCCGTCATTGAGTTTCATGCTACAGATTACCAAGCACTTTTTATTGGTGTACTGTGCTACAGTTCTCCTCTGCTTTCTAAAACTTGCAAGACCAACGTTCAAATACTTCAGAGCGTGCAAGCACAGGCACTACGTGTTTGTCTCGACCTACCACGAACTACCTCAACCGCTGGAACAGGGATATTAGCTTGGGATCATCCGGTTACGATTTACGTCACAACTGACATGCTGAGAGCACATGTTCGGCACATTTCACGGATGGTATCGAGCCACTTGACATTTCTGCCAGAACAACGGCCGCAGGCCTCGTTCTCTAAGGTCGTCAAGCTCCCACCACGCTTTGCTACCATCCGGTTTTATACCCTTGGGCGCGTCACCGTCCGCCTTGTGGAGCCTACGACAACCTGTTGTGCGCCTTTCCGTCCCAGGAATAAGAAATAGAAAAGTCCTTTCTACCTTGGCCTTGAAGCAAGCGACTCTGGACTGTTTACACACTTTCTATGCTGACAGAATTCACGTATACACGAATGGATCTACCACCCAGACTAGCTGCACCGGCTGCCACTGTCCTTCCATCACGACACATCAACATCACTTTCAAACTTTGTCACGTGAGCACATCGACTTGTTCGGAAATCGTTGCCCTGCGAGGTGCCATCGATTATATCAAGCTACAACCGGCTAATCGATAGGCAATATTCTGTGACTCCGAGGCGGCTCTACAAATTCTTTCCTCGGCACTTCGTTTTGGGTCCTACGAACAACTAGTATGAGAGATTAGAAAAATGCTGCACTATGCGACCGAACAAGGACACAACGTTGTGTTCCAGTGGATACCAAGTCATTGCGGTATCTCCGGCAATGACCTCGCCGATGAAGCAGCCAGAAATGCACACGTACAAGCAAACCCTGCGTCCGTACCTTTATCTAGGATTGACTCGGCTAGATACCTAAGTAAGCTGGCGCAGGACATGACACTCCAGAAGTGGCAGTCATCACAGTTCGCACATCATCGACTATATTCTCGCGATCCATCTCTACGACTGGGGATACCCTCTGGTCTTTCTAGGGAGGAAGGTACAGTGTTGTGTTGTTTGCGTCTGGGGGTCGCCTTCACGAATGCCTACTCATTTAAGATAGAGATGGCCGGCAGCGCGGAGTGCAACGGCTGTGCCATCGATGAGACTATTGAACACATCTTATGTTACTGCCCAGCATACACAAACGAGAGGCTCCAACTGCACAGTGTTTTAAACCAACTGGACAGAAGTGATTTCACTGTCGAGAAAGTATTGAGAACATGGCACTGCCCATCCAATTTCCGAAAGGCAACGAAAGCACTGTTGCATTTTCTCAAAGACACCGGCTTGTTTCATCATTTGTGATGGTGAAACTGTTACGCGTCGGCCCAGTCAGTGACCTTTTATCTCCTCCTCTGTAACTTTCCTTCCCCTCTCCCATTCCCCAGTGCAGGGTAGCCTACCGGTGCTCAGCCCTGGTTTACCTCCCTGCCTTTCTCCTTGTGTTCTCTCTCTCTCTCCTAGATGGAGGGCTCAACTCACATTGGGTTTTTTTGTGTATGTATCATGCCGAATGCATTTAAGAGCCCCTTTAGAAACTTTTATGCCTACCGGCTGGAGGGTATTGAACCCATGGATAAGGTATGATTTTGTATACTTTGCACACCGGAAGTTTGACTAAAGTATGTAGAGCTTGAGATTGTTGAAATTGTGTCCTGCTATATTTAAATGCTGTGCCACGGTGTTCGGTATATTTTCTTGCCGTCTCCGCATGATGACTGTTTAATTTAATGTTAACAGGCTGTCCTGTTTTGCCAATCTACTATTTATAACAATAGGATGGTCTACATTATCTACAGTATCAATGTTTAGCTTTTTCAATTTGCTGCAAAGAAACGAATGTGTTACTGTGTTGAATGCCTTATGGAAATCTAAAAACACACTGTAAATTCATCCCCCTGAATCATTAGTGGAAACCAGTAGGCTTGCGCAAATAGTGAATTTCTGGTTCGAGTGAATTTGAAGCACGTAGTAACTTTGGTCAAATAATTTCGAATCCAATGTGAATAGTATAAACATCCTATTTTATAAAAAATTGGTGTACTTTTCATTACCTAACTACCTATACATTTCTATGAAAAAATTGAAAGAAGGCCTATGTAGATGCCATTTTTTTTCTTCATTGGAAGTGAAGACCACTTTGAATAGTTGTTGGATTTGACTTCCTGTAAGATACAAGTGATAACTTGTATAATATGTTGTATTTAAAAATTTGTTACAGTTAGAGCATATAAGTTGGTATAACAAGCTTTTAAACTTAAATATTCATCATTGTGAGGGTAATATTTTTATTTAACCTCAAAAAGGGGCTTCACGGCAGTGTGGAATTTCCTCTGATTATGTTTTTTCACGGCTTAATATTTTATTGCAATGAAACCACTTTTACAGGAGTTACATGTAACTAATATAGGTAGATTTTAATAGATGTTTTTACCGCTTAGCATTTGACTACTGCCATGAAACCAGCTTTACACGATTGTTCGTGAAATGAACAAATAGATATACATCTATTTGTTCATTTCGAACACTTCGAAATTTTCAATAATTTAAATTCGGTTCAAAGCAAATTCTAATACTGTATTATTCGTTCCAATATTCAAAGCATTCGAATATTCACACAAGCCTAGAAACTATGTCATGATAAAGTGCACATGAACCCCCTTCGCACTTATTAAGAATTTGTTTCCATTGAAACGTTTTGTTATTCAGAGTATAGACCGTTTTCACGGAGAGCAGGAGCGTGGCCTCGAACCGGCGCATTTCTGTCACTCTCTCTCTCTCTCTCCATCGACCGTTCGGCCACCGCCGCTGGTGATTGCGGATTAGCTGCATTTTTCATGTGAGGCCCGTGAGAGGTAAATGGGTTTCATTTCTTTTCCTTCTTTTTTGATGCACTAAAGCAGTCGTGATGCCGAAATTTCAAATATCGGACAAGAACAGGTCGACAGGCTGCCACGGCACTGTGTTTGGCTGCGGCTACTACTATCAAAGGCACAGAACGCTGGCACCCGAGACTTGCGAGATGCACCTTCCTTCGAAATGGCTTTGCTTAGGTCACAGGCCTCCTTTTTCAGCAAATATTTTATAATATGTGGTGTCTGTCCTTGTGGTCGTTCCTTCACTACACCAGTTTGTGATTCTGGTGGAGTGCTGGTACACTTCATCATTTGCAGCAAAGAGAAGCGAAGCCAAAGCTTACGGTTAATACTGGAAATGTTTTGCCCAGAATTCGCCTGCTGTAACACCAACATACCCCATTTTCATGCTACAACACTCGAGCTACAATGCCTGCGGCTACCGAAATTGAAGCGCGTGCAATTACAAGATTATCGATAGAGCACTTTTCACACTGCATGGCAGAAAGGCTCGCATGACAAAAGTGTTCTTTGGCTCAGGAATGTGCCTGCAGCGTTCTTTCGACGGCACGTCATTTGTCGATTTGTCAATTTTGCGACAATAACTGGAGCAGTTCTATGGCAACTGCACTTTTTTTCTCGCGGCAGCCCGAGTGTCGTAAATAATTGACCCACAATCGTTAAAGCTAGGTCGTTACTTTGACGCATTCGCTCGTCGTGATGCTTTTTAAAAAAGAATGACAACAATGTTACCGAAAACAGGAGCACTTTTGTGTATCGCCACGGGGGGTTGCTTGTGCCGAAGTGAACTTATGTCATGCTGTGCTTACAGATCTGTAAGGATTTTTTTTAATTTTCGCTTTGTGTTGCTTTTTATGAAAGTTCGAGCTCATCTGTCGTTCATCCATTTTTTATCCTATGGAACGATCAGACACAATATTTTTACTAAGATGACGACACTGACTCAACACAATCATCGGATGTTTGGGCTCGCTTCATTCCAGAAACTTTGTATTGCGATGTTCTGAGCCAAACCAGATGATCTGCAAAGGATTGCAGAGTTACAATAAACTCAAAAAATCACAGCTAAGAAACCCAAGAGTCATTTTCAACGCTGAGGCATGCAATTGAAGTGCAGCTGGACAAAGGCGTACGTTTCGGTTTGTCTCCATTTATGTTTTACCCATTAGTTGTAGAGTTGTCAGAAAATTTAATGCCAGTGCATTCTTATAGAATTTAACAAAACCAACTATAACAAAAATGCTAGCCAATTACCAATTTACACAGGTTGCTCAAGGAATGCATTTCAATTCTACCTCCCTCTTGTCTGTCGTCAGCACTGCTGCAGCGATGTCTTATGGGTTGCCGCTGCTTTCTGTTTCTGCCATTTTGAAGCTGACAGCTTAATGATTGCTTACTAGCGCCTCTACACTTGCGAAGGGTTGCTGTGTTTTGGCAATGTACCACGAAGAACAGCGATACCCTGTGTACTGAGTGTGTACACTGCATAGACTGCCGCAGATCTCCACGCACCGACAGGGCGGTGAAACATTGCAGATGCTAGGCAGTGCTGCGGCGAGAAAAGTGACAGCCTCCTTGTCAAAATAGTCTATAAAATGAGCTCCATTACCTCACACATTATTGAGGTTAGAGATATTGGTCTGTGATTTCCAACATTCATTCTTGATCCCCCTCTGTGGGTTGGAATGACAAAAGCAGTTTTCTTTTCAACAGGTAGGATGCTTATCACCAAGAATTGTATATAAATTACAGTGATCCCTCATTACAAAAAAGTCAGTAGGATAGCAGGAAAATTTTGTGTTGGTGGTATTTCAAAATAAGTGACCACTCATGAGAACATGAAGCAGTTGAGCCTTAATTGCACCCATACTGCAAGGAAGTCTAAACAAATACAAAATGTATTCAGGTGAGCAAAACTATGTTCAGGCACAAAAAAATGACAAAAAAATAGTGAGCTTTGGCTGTTTCAAGCTCTTAGCTGGGTGCGAGCAACCCCTGCTCCAATTTGACCAAGTGTACCACGAGGCTGTTGTCACCGCCCAGTGGATTCAACATCATTTCGCTACAGGCATAGGCATTCCTGTGTCTTCTCCAACATGGTTGGGAGTTCATGCGGTTCTGTGCCTGCCTGTTCGTTGTTCTTGTCGGGGCCACCAACAGCATTGGCTGTCCCGCATTCATCGCAGGGATGACCATAGTAGTAGCACTGTCAGCCAATAGAAATGCCTTGAAGTTACCTTATAGCTCTTGCCCAGCAATTTTATAAACAGCCTCATACAGATTGCTGCAAGTTCGATCATTGCCAGGCTGGTCATCGTCAGGTTCGCTGACAATGGCGCAGGGAAAGCAGGTATGCACAAAATAGTTGAGGACCTTCGAAGGTACAAGTCCTTTTCACGAAAAGTTCAGCAAATCGATCGCACCAAGCCAGTCAATGTTGTACCTCTTGCTGGAATCATATGCTGTGGACATGCTCTGAAAAAATGCCTTGCCGTACAGCTTCCGGTACATGTAAGTGGTGCTGTGACCTATTGGTTGTCATACCGCGATTGTGTTTACAGACCGAAATTCCAAAGCAGTCGCCTTGAAGTTGTTGATGTTCCTGTGGCTCGGACAATAGTCTTTTAAGAAAAGTGCTTGCCATTCTTTTGCATCAAACCTTCTTGAGGCGTACGTAGTTTTCAAAAGTAGATTGATTGATGTGTGGGGTTTAACGTCCCCAAAACCACCATATGATTATGAGAGACGGGGTAGTGGAGGGCTCTGGAAGTTTCGGCCACCTGAAGTTCTTTAACGTGCACCCATATCTGAGCACACAGGCCTACAACATTTCCGCCTCCATCGGAAATGCAGCCGCCGCAGCCGGGATTCGATCCCGCGACCTTGTGGGTCAGCAGCCGAGTACCTTGGCCACTAGACCACCGCGGCGTGGCTTCAAAAATACCAACAGTTATCCATGTTCGCTTGTCGATTCTGTTCATGCATTCCTCGGGAATAGTTGCATTCTGGAAACACCGCAGCTTCCTCTGCCCTCTAAAGTATCAACAAAGAAAGCTTGTCTTTACCTGTCGCATTGGCACCAAATGACACTGCAATGCACTCCTTGCTCTGCTTTCCTCCAGAAGAGAATCTGCTAGTAGTATTGAACATGCGATTTGGTAGTGTCTTGTAGGAAAATGCGCCTCATCTAGGTTGTAGATGTCTGTGCCTTCATGCTTTTCAAGTAGAGCTTGAAGCCTATGTTGCCATCATAAGTCTACAGTGTCAAGGTTCGCAACTGCGCTTTCATAAACGATCAACTTCTAGGTCATATCATGTCGTTTCTTAAACCACTCAAACCAGCCATTGCTGCACTTGAAATCTTTATGGCCCATTTAGGAGAGTGAAATTTTTGCCTTTTGCAATAGGTGCAGGTTCATGCGCGGGAAGATTCTGCACTGCTGGCGTTCATCAGCCATTGTAGAAGTACACCGTCCACTTTGGAGTATTTTGAAGTGCAATTCCCTTTTTTCTTTGCTGAGAAGTTCTTTTCAAAGTTATTTAGCACAGCTTCATTGTTTTTCAACACAGTTGACACAGTAGACGGCAGTATGAATAATTCATTTGCACTGTCTCTTTTCTGCTGGCTGCCTTTTTGTACTTCTTCTATCAGCAGAACTTCTGCTCCAAAGTCAGACACTTTTGCCCGAAGACTGTTGGGATTTTTTATTACTCTAGACCACGAAAACAGAGAGGCATGCTTATCAAATCACTCCGAATACCACAGTTATGCGGCTTGTAGCACGGGCCCCAAGGCGCACGCTGGTAGCACCATAATGACCCAAGGTGGCGGGTGACACAGAAGCTTTAAAATGTCAGTCCAACCATCTGGTTTTTCTCGTGTGTGTGGTGATGGTGATGGTTGCAATGGCAGGTCTTGGTAATGGCTTCTTCTGTCGCAGAAGAAAGGCGATTGGAGCTGTGCAAGAAGCAATAACTGTGGAAAAAGTGCCAGTTGGTGAAAGGTGTGCTCGGGAAGGCAGCTTTGGAGGAGCAGCGGCACAGAAATTGGCAGCAAGGAGGCCAGGGAGACCAGAGTTGATTGTCAAGGTCGTGGCTGAGCAGTGCCACCTCCCATTGCGCCCCGGGGTTCGAGACTGCTATGTCTACCTTGTTCATCGATGCCTCTTTCTGTTTCATACAGGTATGTTCTCACACTTCCTTTTCACCTTTCTTTCATAAAGACCCGACTGGGGGTATTACATAAGGAGTGGTTACAAGATGTACTTCGTGCTGAAAGCTTTTTTACATGCAGTTGCTTCCATGAAGGCAGATTAGCTTGTGTTAGAAGGAATATTGTGCGAGGTCATTCCAGTGTTTGGCTGCTCAAAGAAACAAAAAGGATGCAAAGGTGACTGTACGTGCGTGTGGACAAGGAGAGTTTTAAGGGGTGGCCAATGCGATAGGATATGCGTGTTGGTGGCTAAATACACAGGGTGTGATTGAGCGTGCTGTGGTAGAACTTATGGAATACTATAAACTGGCGATGAGATGTCGATTAGAAAGGGTTTGCCGTGTGCTGCAGTGTTGCTTTGGCTCTACACACTTTACACTCATCGGATGAAAAAAACCTCTGGGCAGGAGAAGTGAAAGACTGCGAAGTTTGAATACATGTATCAGCAGTTGTCTCTATACTGTCTGTTTTTTATTTAGCTTGGCATGTAGTAAGGGGTAGTGGCTAATGGAACATTCATCTGTTCGATGTCTAGTATAGTGTGATGTTTCTGATAGAGGATAGGGGTCATGCAGTCTGCCCACTTTCAGTCAATCTTGTAATTGAGTATTGCTTGTTCATTGTCAAGCTTGTGTTGGTCAATGAGCTTGAGAATGACTTAAAAAAACATAACTAAGAAACAATTCTCA